GCACTTGACACAGGGTCAGGCGCAGAGCAGGAAACTAGTAGATATGTGCTGAATGGATGAAAGAATATACCTGGAGCCATGCAGCAGGCTGTCGGGTACACGGATAGGAAACTGAAAGGTCTAGGAGGAAACTCTAGATTCAGGAGAGCTATGCATTTGGGTGGTAACTGAACCCAAGGTATTGGGTCAAATGGCTCAGGTCAGGTGAGAAAAATCCGAGAGCCTAAGTCAAAGTCCTGGGAAACACCATCATCCAAGGGGCCCAGGAAGAAGAGCAGCTGGAGAGGAGGTGGAGAACTAAGTGGGAAGGGCTTGGAGAATTCTCTAGTGGTCCAGTGGTAAGTCCACTGATGAATTCAAGTTGTTTCCACTTCTTGTCTATTGTAAATAATGCTGCAGTAAATGTGAGAGTGGGCTTCCCAGGCGGCACGAGTGGTAAAGAACCCACTTGCCAACGCAGGAGACATAAGAAGTGTGGGTTCCATCCCTGGGTTGGGAAGATCCCCTGGAGAAGGACATGGCAACCCACTCTAGTATTCTTGTCTAGAGAATCCCATGGACAGAGGAGCCTGACGGGCTACAGCTGATAGGGTTGCAAAGAGACACGACTGAAGCAACTTAGCATGCATGCACAAGTGGTTAAGACTCCACACTTTCATTGCCGGGGGCATGGGTTTGATCCCTGGCCAGGAAACTAAGTCCCACAGGCCACAGGGTACAGCCAAAAAGAGAGAGAGGAGGGCATTCTGGAAGCTAGAGGAGGAGAAATATTTAAACAAAGAGAAGTCAGTGGAATCAAATACTGGTGAGATGCCTTGTGAGATGAACACCACCAATGCTTATGAAGCCCTTGGGTTCCAGGCAGTGTTCTGACAGCTCTATGTGTCTTAACTCGCTTAATTCCCACAAGGTAGGGACTATCATCATGATCTGCTCCCTTCCCAAAGACGAGGGTACTGAGACACAGAGAGGTCACCGAGCTAGTAAGTGGGAGGGCTACATTTTGAACCCAGGCTCTCTGGTCTCCAAGCCTGTGCTCCTCCCTGTTATAGACACTGCCCCAGAAGAGGGGGGAACAGATGGGTCATTGGTAACAGTGGCAATTTCAGTGACACTATAGGGTAAAACCACAAGGCAGTGAGTCAAAAAAAAAGTGAGTTGGAAGAAAGAGAGTACAGACCAGCAGGCCAGCCCTTAACTACAAAGAGTGGTCTGACTGTGTCACCTGGGGGCTCATTATACATGAAGCACCTTGGGCCCAGCCCCATCTTCTGGAACAGACTCTGCAATTAACAAGTTCCTCAGGTGATTCACATGCACGGTGAAGTCTCATCGAGCTGATCTTTCAGAACTAGATGAGCTTTCAGGAACTTTGATGGAGAGAAGCGAAAAAGAAAAATGCAATGTTAAGTGAGAACTTTTTCTTTTTTGGTTGGAGAGACTGAAGCAGGTTGTAAATTTAGAACAGTGGTTTGCAACCCTGACTGCACATTAAAAACATGTAGTGTGCTGAGGCCAATGCCCAAAAGAAAGTCTTGGGGTCCAGGTGATCCTAATGGGGGGGCGTGGTAGGGAGACTCAGACAAGAAATCAAAGTAAGGAAGGGCAGGATGGAGGTGCAGGTGCCAGGGAATTAAGGCTTCCTCAGGTAACTGGGAAGGTTTGAGGCCAAAGACATGCAAAGAAGATGTTTTGGGGAAGGAAGAAAAGCATCACAGTAAAGCAGAGAGAAACATTTCAGAGTATGGGGACCAGCAAGGAGATAGATCTCAAAGGGAATAACGCCTAAGAGTAAGGACTAATTAATTGGTTGACTTCTTACATTTTAACTGGGATATGATGTAACAAGAACGGTGCCTTTAAAACTGAAGTCAGATGGTGTCCTAGCCTGCTCAAAGCCTTGCGGTTTCTTTCTGTCACATATGGCTTACTAGGCCCTTGGTGATCTGGCTGTGCTGACTTCATTCTCTGCTTTCCACTGACCTCCTGCACACTAGGCTCTTTAATGTTCTTTTTTCTACTGATCCCATTTCTGCCTCAGGGCCCTTGTACTTACTATTCCCATCTTTGGTTCTTCCTCTAAATATGTTCTTCCTCTAAATATTCACACAGCCTGCTCCCTAACTTCAGCTGGGTCTCCTTCCAGGTCCTCTCAGAGGACTTCTCTCATCACTCTCTGTGCCTTTCCTCTGAATTCTTTTCTTTTTAAAATATTTATTTTTTATTTTTAATTGGGCTATAGTAGCTTTACAGTGTTGTGTTGGTTTCTACAATACAACAACATGAATCAGCTATATATATATCCTCCTCCCTCTTGGGCCTCCCTCACACCCACCCACATCACACCCCTCTAGGTCATCACAGAGCACCAGAGCTGAGCTCCCTGGCCTAAACAGCTGGTCCCACTAGCTAGCTATTTCACACACAGCGACCTGCCTCTTGAGAGACCTGTATGCAGGTCAGGAAGCAACAGTTCGAACTGGACATGGAAAACAGACTGGTTCCAAATAGGAAAAGGAGTACGTCAAGGCTGTATATTGTCACCCTGATTATTTAACTTAGATGCAGAGTACATCATGAGAAATGCTGGGCTGGAAGAACCACAAGCTGGAATCAAGATTGCCGGGAGAAATATCAATAACCTCAGATATGCAGATGACACCACCCTTATGGCAGAAAGTGAAGAACTAAAGAGCCTCTTGATGAAAGTGAAAATGGAGAGTGAAAAAGTTGGCTTAAAGCTCGACCTTCAGAAAACTAAGACCATGGCATCTGGTCCCATCACTTCATGGCAAATAGATGGGGAAACAGTGGAAATAGTGGCTGACTTTATTTTTGGGGGCTCCAAAATCACTGCAGATGGTGATTGCAGCCATGAAATTAAAAGACGCTTACTCTTTGGAAGGAAAGTTATGACCAACCTAGACAGCATATTAAAAATTAGAGACATTACTTTGTCAAAAAAGGTCCGTCTAGTCAAGGCTATGGTTTTTCCAATCGTCATGTATGGATGTGAGAGTTGGACTCTAAAGAAAGCTGAGTGCCAAAGAATTGATGCTTTTGAACTGTGGAGTTGGAGAAGACTCTTGGGAGTCCCTTGGACTTCAAGGAGATCCAACCAGTCCATCCTAAAGGAAATCAGTCCTGGGTATTCATTGGTAGGACTGATTTTGAAGTTGAAACTCCAATACTTTGGCCACCTGATATGAAGAGCTGACTCATTTGAAAAGACCCTGATGCTGGGAAAGATTGAGGGCAGGAGAGGAAGGGGATGACAGAGGATGAGATGGTTGGATGGCATCAATGACTCAATGGACATGGGTTTGGGTGGACTCTGGGAGTTGGTGATGGAAGGGAGGCCTGGCGTGCTGTGGTTCATGGGGTCGCAAAGAGTCGGACATGACTGAGCAACTGAACTGAACTGAGAGTATATATGTCAAAGCTACTCTCTGAATTATTTTCTATGACTCCTCAATATCATGTCATAAACCGACCTGCCTATTTGTTTAAGGTCTACCTCCTCTACCAGAATGCGAGCTCCATGGGGGCAAGGATTTGTCTTGTTCACTGATAATACTCACCATCTAGAACTGTGAGGCACAGAGGTGGTACTTGCAAAAGGTTTAATGAATGAATAGCTGGCTGCTGCTGCTTGGTGCTAATCAATAGGAGGCTGAGATGAAAAGGTGTTGCTGAGAGTGCCTGGAGAAGGTGATTAGCTAGGGAGACTGTAGGAGAATGAGATGATTAAGGACAAGCAAATGGGCATCTTTAAGGAGGGCGTGCAGGGTTGTAATGGCAGGTAAGGCAGTAAACAGTTTTGTGTGTGACTGAGAATGTGGTTTCTGCCCTACGCCACCTACTCTCTGTGCGGCTCTGGGTAAATTTGTTAATCTTTCTAAGCCTCAATTACCCACCAGTAAAATGAGGCTGATAACCATAATGCAAGCATGCATGTTAAGTCGCTTCAGTCATGTCCGACCCTGCGCAACCCCATAGATGGCAGCCGACCAGGCTCCTCTGTCTGTGGGATTCTCAGGCAAGAATACTGAAATGGGTTGCCATCTCCTTCTCCAGATAACCATAATACCTTCCACCCAAAGGTTGTGATGGAAATTAATTGAGGTCATAAAAAGCCTGACATGGGATAAGCTCTCAATAATTATTAATTACTATGATCAATCCCAGATTGGGAGAAGAGTATGAAATGTTGCAATATAAAAACAATGTTTATGTAATCCTGCTAAATCTTGTCCCAAAGGGGTCTACCCAGGAATAGATTCGATGTGTTACCTTGTCCCCAACCACACACATACACGAAAATGTCTCTACCTTGCCATCCCCATTACCAGCCTTTTCTCCTTTCCGATGACTCTTCTGAGAGCTAGCCTAGGGCTTGACACAATAAGTTCTCTATAATTATTTGTTGATGTTCATTGCACCGCTCCCAGACAATGCTTAGGTGTTACTTTGTCAGGAAAATCTCAGTGTGGAGTGGGAGATAATTAGTGTCTCTGACTTCCTTAGGAGAACGAACTAGCTAGAAAGATGGCGTTCTTCGGGCTCTGAATCACCCATAAGCCTGGCATAGCAAACGTAGCTCAATAGTAAAGGATTGGGTTTGGTCCTCTGGAACTTCCCTGGTGAACCATCTGCATCCCAAGGGCGGCCAGAGGCCAAGAAAGGGCGCTGAGCTTTTGTCTCCTTTAAGAGGTGTGGCCTCGCTGTAGCCACCACAGGAGTGATTGGCTGGAGCTGCCTGTCCCGGGGCGGGACTCGGTTGCTAGGGAGCGGCGCGGGGGCCCTGCGGAGACTGCGGCGGCTGCGCGTAGGAGCGAGGTGCTTGCTGGGGCTGGGGTTCGCGACGGCGCCGGGGGCTGCGGTGAACGCCTCGCAGGCCGTGCAGTTCCCTGTGGGGAGGCGCCGTCGCCATTGCCACCTCGCTCGGTGAGCGCGTCCCGAGCGCTCGCCGAGCAGGGCCGCAGCCGACCGCCGGCACCATGGGGCAGTGTGGTATCACCTCCTCCAAGACCGTGCTGGTGTTTCTCAACCTCATTTTCTGGGTGAGCGTGGCCAGCGGGCGGGAAAGGGCGAGGGGCCGGCGGTGCGGCCCGAAGAGGCCTCGGCTGAAGCGCCGGTGGCGCTGAGGAGGTGGGGGAGAGACGGGACCCTGCGGCGGAGACCCGGGAGGGCCTGGCCCCGGAGGCCGCTTCGCTCTGGTCCCTCCGCGGCCGGGACGAAGACTCGGGGTGTAGAGGGCGGTGAGGAGAAACCCTCGGGGGCTTCTGGCGGCCTCCGTCTCGGGCCCAACGCCCCGGCCGGCGGGCTCTGGGCCAGGAGCCCGGCGCAGAGAGCCCACCCTCTCCCCTCCCCCAACCTCCCCCCGGAGCAGCCTGCTGGACGGAGAGCTCTTATTGCAGATTCTTTCAGGACATCAGGCTCGAAATAGGATATCCCCCAAAGGGTCGGGCGCCGCTTTCTTTGTCAGGGCCCGGAGCCCCCGCGGCTCCACTGGCAGCCCCGAGGCGAGCGAGCACACGGTGCAGAAGTGCGGAGACGCTTCCGACTCAGGCGTGAGGAATTTTGCCTTAGAGCTCTTTGTGTGTGGAGAACTGGTCGACTGGTTACCAGCCCAGAAAACGGAAAGGTTTCAACTTGAGAAGCTAAATAATCCTTTGACGAGGAAAATCAATCTTATTTGTTTGGTCATGGGGGTGGGTAGACTGAGGTTATAAAGCTTGGTTAAATATGACTCGAATGTCACAAGATCTAGAAAGCGATGAGTTCACTTTCAATAAAAGGTGGCTTATGAATTTTTTTGGACACGCCCCCAAAGAAAGGGCCCTTTATAAAGCACTTCATCTTACTTCAGGTCCTTATCTCGTCAGGGACTTCTGTAATAACCTGTGTTATTCTTATCAGTCCCTCCACCCTCTAGTTCATCTGGACCTTGCACCCGGATAAATCTTATTAAGCTTTTCTTCCTTCACATCACTTTACTTCATTTAACAAATAAACACACACCCCTCCCTTAAAGCTTCAGCAGTAGAATAAAGTTCAGTGCCCTCTTGGTATTGCAACCAATGTCCTCAAATCATCTTTTCCTCCTCACGATTGACCATGTTCTTAAACCATGTTCTTAAACACCTGGACACCCTTCTCTGTCCCCAGTCTCCAGGACACTTCTTGAACATTTGCACTTCCCATTCTTTTATATGTCTTCATTCACCTCTTTCCCACAAACATACTAAATTGGAAAGAATCCTTTCCTTCTTACAACCTGGTTCCCTCCTCCCCCTGCAAAGAGTGAAACTTTTCATATCCTGACTGCTGTAGCATAAAAGAATAATTACACATCACAGAGCACTCACCACACACATCTTTTGCCATAGAGTCTTTCAGGGTATGGTGTGATGAAACGAATCCTGACTGAGGGTACTGTTCAGGATCACCCACGTGACATCAGGATTCCATGATTTCTTTTCCCTTTAGAGCAGTGTTTCTTATACTTTAGTTTGACTTAGAAGCCTTTTTAAAAGGTAAAAGAATCTCCTAGTATCTCCAGATGAGAAACACTGTTAGATAAGAAGATTCTTAAGTGTAGACTTAGCTTTGTATCCTTTACAGTCCCTTATTATTTTTATGGGCATACAGTTTGATTTTGAAGAATCTGTGTAATATCAGGTGACTTCTAGGCTTTTCAAGCTCAGGGTGGAATTGTTAAAGAAACAAAATACTGGAAATACGGAACCATTTTCTTTAAATAATTAAATTTTCATTTAAAATTGCAGTTTATTCAAAGATTCATTCATCTTTAGAAATTATATAAGTATAGGTACTATTATTGGCACTTAGTGAAGACGGTTATGTTGAACTTCGGTTGTGCTTTTCATGGTGGGTTCTTGCCAAGGCTGAGGTTAAACACCCTTTATCTAGATTAGTAGAATAGTAAAATGTTTGTGAGGTGAGCTGTGATGAAGAAGTTAAGCAGACATGTAGGGAAAAAATGTGGCACAGAGCAGGATTCGTGTAACATAACTAAGAAGGAAGCAATATGAGATGTATCTCCCACAGAATTCGTAGTTTAGGGACCAACCGTTGGAATTTGATGATGTTGGTAATCATAACTAAATTTGAGTGCTTTTTATACCCAGGCACTGTGCTAAGCACTTTAATGGAATAAAGCCTCATTTGGCAGGGAATATTATGCTTCTTTTACAGATGAGGACATTAAAGTTTACTTAAAGTGGCACACCCAAGGTGGGGCAGAGCCAGCCTTCATACCCAGGGTGTCCTATACTTTAGAGCCTGTGGTGTTAGAGCAAAGTGTGATTTCAAAAGACTTGCAAAAGGGAAGGAGCTCTTTAGCTCACTTGCTCCAAAACGTAATTTTAACCTTGTTTAGAACTTCCACCAGCATTTAAAACTATACTATTTAACTTGTCAGTTTAAAAAATTAGGTCGTTATCGGGAAATACATAAAACATGTTAACCTGTTCTTCCTGGTTTTTTATACTGCATTCTTCAGTTCTAATAAATGTATTCTTTTATAAGTGGTCCATTCCACCTTTTAATACCTTAATGTATAAGTGTAAGAATAAGCATTCCCTACATAGAGCATCTCTAACATTTATCTGGGTTCCGCTGGGCAACATTTCCCTCATAGCTCAGTTTGTAAAGAATCTGCCTGCAGTGCAGGAGACCCAGGTTCAATTCCTGGGTCGGGAAGATCCCCTGGAGAAGGAAAGGGCAACCCACTCCAGTATTCTTGCCTGGAGAATCCCATGGTCAGAGAAGCCTGGCAGACTACAATCCATGGGGTTGCAAGAGTTGGACACAACTTAGCAACACCACCACCACCACTGGTCAACATTACTAAAGGTTTTTTTAACTGTTGTATTGGCTTTTTGCTATCAGCTGATTCTTGATAAGTGTTGAAGTTTAATTGCTTTGACAACATATTTAAACTCTGCCTCTTAATATCTTGATATCCTGGTTCAGTCGGCAGTTTGTTCAGTGCGTTGTAATGTGGAAATAGATATGTACTTGAAATGCTTAGAATCGGCATTAAATGATATAACAGCCAAAGTTGTTAATGTTGACTTGGTGTAGATTATTATGGATAGTACAGTCTAAGAAAATTACTGTGGAAAGGCACAGGCAAAGGGGAAACAGTGGTTTCTAAAGTCCTTAAGCTTGTCTTAATGGAAATTGAGAGCTCATCACCAAATTCCAAAATATTAGGGCTTATAGCATGAAAGGTAATTTTGGACAAGTGAAGGGATGTACAACTTGGATCTCTTTGTTTTTTACAGAGTGGCATAGCTTTAAATATAAGTGTATTAGTGCTAGACCCATGATGAATTTTAGAAGACAAAAGTGTTTAGTGACTACATTTTGAAGGGTATTAGAATGAACAGTCATTAACCTCTTCTCTAAACTGCCCTTTTGCTCCAAGGTCAGACAAGAGCCTTAATTCAGTGGGTCATTTGATCTGACCTGGGAGGCCTCATCTAAAACAAGTTTAAATCAGTACTTGATAATTTCAGGTTTTATTCTGTTAATTGAGTACTTAATTAAGTCCCATGTTATACAAATTACCTTTACTTTTTCTACCCTAGAAGGAGAGCCAATTGGTTAGTGTTTATTTTGCTCACACATATCTTAGGCATTATAGAGACTGTAAGAGAAAGCTTTGTCCATGCTTGCAGAATTTCTAGTCTGGCACATCTGCTTAGGGTGTTGTTTTTCATCAGTATGAAAGGCCATAGTAACGCTGAAACGGCTGTGGAGTAGGAGATACCACAAGGTTAAACACCTTTTAAAGGGTTTTGGAAACTTTAGAATGTGGCAGCTTCACTAATCATTCATTCATAGGAAATACAAATCCTATTTAAAAGCCTTATTTAAGCTTTAAAATTTGTCTTATCTTAAAAAAGTTTCAAGTTGCATTTCCCTCTGTGAATACATAAAATTAAGGAAATGTGCTTTGTTAATTAAGCAAATACTACACAAATGTTTAAGCACCCACTTTTTGCTTATATTACTGATAAAGTGGTGGAAAAGTGAAGATCTCTGTTCTTACAGAGCTTTACAGGACAGACAGTTAAAAATAAGCAAGAAAAATAACAGTGATATGTTATGCAGAGAGTTAAGACAGAATGATGTGATAGAGTGATTAGGTGGCTGCTTTAGGTTGGCAAAGAAGTCTTCTCCAAAGAGGTGAGATTTAACCTGGAATATGTGAAGGAACAGATGTTGGGGTGATTTGGAGGAAATGGGGGACATTTAAGACAAGGAACAGTCTACAGGCCCTAAGGCAAATTTGATGTGTTCAAATTACCTTCATGCTTTTGTTTAAAAGATAAAAATTTATTATGAAATATTTTGTTTTAAATGAAAAAGTGCTTGTCACACTTCTCCATATGTGTATTTTGTGTTTTCTAGCACATCTTGCACATTCGAGTTGAGAACATGATACTTTAAAACCGGATCCTTCATCTCACATCCTGGGATTTGTTTCTTTACCTCTTGTATTCCCATCTTCACGAGTGACTACTCCAGCAAAGAATATGCCATTGGAGCACACCTTCAGCTAACTGGTTTCTTTTTTCATAGTTGTTTCTCAGTTTACCAGAAGAAAAGCAAGTTATGGTATATAACAGGAGACCTATTTCTTGTCTTTGACAGTTAAGAAAATGAATTACTTCCAGTCTTACTGCATTCTCAGTCATCTGTCCACTGAACCAAGTACCTTGTGGCTGTGAGCTATTAACTGAAAGAACTCAAAGCAGTGGGAATGTAGAAGGGCTCTATTTAATTGGCAATTTAAGAAATAGGTTGTTTATTACCTTTTTGGGTATTTATCATGCTTTGAAATCTTCTAATGAATTTTATTCCGTAAGATCCAAAATTAGGAATTTTGCAAAAAAATTATTCCGTTAAATTTATACTTGCATCAAACAAGTGTACCCTAAGACTCATTCATTCAGTAAATACTTTTTGAATATCTGTGCTTTACCTGTTTGAGAAATGCAAAAGGTATAGTTCCTGCTTTCTAACA